TGGGATAAAACTGGGCCCAATCTTCTAGCTTACTAATTCACCTTTCAGTTCAGCTTGAGTCAGTATGGCATGGTGATTAAAAGCCTGAGTTCAAATCCTGGTTCAGTCATTTATTACTGTGTTGCCTTGAGTAAGTTAATTAAACTTTCAAGTCTTCAGTTTACTCATATGTAAAATGAGTATGCTAATATTATTGCCTACTTTAGAAGATTATAAAGATTAAATATGTTAATGCATGAATGCTTAGAGGAGTATCTGTGGCATAGTATTACTTAATTATTGTTCAATCTATACATTTATTTTATTTATAGATTATTTATTTATTTGAGAGAGAGAGAGAGAGCACGAATGGGGGGAGGGGCAGAGGGAGAGGGAGAAGCAGGCTTCCCTGCTGAGCAGGGAACCCATCATGGGACTCAATCCCAGGACCCTGGGATTATGACCTGAACCAAAGGCAGATGCTCAACCGATTGAGCCACCCAGGCGCCCCTATACATTCATTTAAAAAATTTCAATAAATATATTAATTATTCATCTAACTGGTTTGTTTTCATAATAACTTGGTTATTTTATGAATGTAAGATCCTGTATTATTTTTTTGAGGATAATATATATGTATATATGTTATAAAATTTCTTTTTGCTCTCTGAACAATAACTTTGGGTATTCAGTCTGTTTGTTGATTGCAGTTGGTTCCTTTCTTTCATAGTAATAGCTTTTTAGGAACAATCGGTGGACTGTTTGAAAATCTCATTTGCCTATCTGTGGTGTTGGCTCTAAAAGATTTTATTTATTTATTTATTGGAGAGAGAGAGAGCGAGCATGAGCAGGGGAGGAGCAGAAGGAGAGGGAGAGAGAATCCCCAAGTAGACTCCCCACTCAGTGGGGAGCACGACTCAAGGCTGGATCCCATGACCCTGAGATCATAACCTGAGTGAAAATCAAGAGTGGGTGCTTAACCTCCTGAGCCACCCAGGAACCCCTGTCGTGCCAATTCTAATTCTGAGTGCTTGCTTTGCTGACTGTGGTATGAAGGGGGGCAGCACAGAATGTCCTGCACGGCAGGGGATATAGGTAGTTTACCTTCTGTGTGTGTCTGTGCACATGCGTGTGCATGTGTATGTGGTCTCCTTTCTCCTGGCAACTGGTCAGCAGCCCTTGGGGTGATACCCTTTCTCCTTGACCCAAGCACCCATACTTACAGAGAGAGCATCTATCAGGGTTGGGGGTGGACATGTCCACCCGCTGATTTTTATTATCCTATTTGATTTTGGTTCTATCATTTGTCACCATCTAACATAATCTTAGTTATGGATCATTTATTTACAATTTGATTATTTGCCTCTGTGAAAGCAAATCTCCAGGACCTACTATGGTGCCTCACACAGAGTAAATGATTTATGTACTTATGGAATGAATGGACTAATGCCATTCTTTAGTTGCTTACCGTGATGAAAGTGTTTGCCCCTTGTAGCCATTGCCTCTGAGCTGGAAGCCTCCCCAGCTCTCACCCTGGTCCCACCCTGTACAGTTTTGGTTTACAGATCTACTGGCAATCAAATCCTACCTGCTTTATCTGATCCAGGAAGTCCTCTGAATTGCTGGACCACTGATGCTCCCTTTTTTGTCTTCCAGAACGCTAATGAATTTTTTAAAATACATTTCCTGTTATATCTAGGGATTTGTGGGGCTAGAAGGTGTGCAGAGTGTGCTTTTAGAAGCTTGACAAGCTGTGTTACTGATTTCCACAGTGTTTATTTTAGTTGGAGGATGGATGTGACATGAAATAACATTGACTCTAATAGAGGGAACTGAACCCCCTTTGGGATTCTCTCCTTTTTTAAAATATTTTTAAAATAGAAAAATATTTCAAATATACAGAAAGATACAGAGAACAATACAATAAATACTAATTAGGAACCATACATCCAGATTTCAGAATTCCAAACATTTAGCAATATTTGCTTAAGATCTTTTTTTTTTTTAAATTAGATACCATTGTTGGAGCCTCCTTTGTACCTTCTCATCAGATCCCTCGTGCACCCTTCTCACTATCCTGAAGCTGATCTGTGTCCTTCCTGCCTGTGTCCATGCTTCTTATACATGATGTTTCATAAACATAGACATGTTTATAGACATAAACAGCATATTGTACTGTTTTACAGGATTTCAAATTGTACATAAAGGATATAAATTCTTTGAATCCTTCAGATGACACCAAGAGAAAAATCTCACTTTGGTCAAATTTTGAATGCCTTTTCTGGCATTTGCTAAGTTCTCTTTTAACAAAAGAATAGCAGGCCTCAGGCTAGATGCCTGGAGCAGGCAGCCATAGCTAAAATTAAATAATATTGCTTTATTTCCCATTATATTTATTTTGATGGTTTCCTTCTATTTTTTAGCAAGTGTTGCCACCTTTCCATTTATGGTAGTGATTTATTGATTTATTGACTTGAGAGAGGGGGCACATCCGTGCCAGTGGGCGGGGAGGGGGTGGAGGGACAGAGGGAGAGGGAGAGACTGGGAGAGAGAATCTTAAGCAGGCTCCACACCCAGGGCTGAGCCCCATGTGGGGCTCATCTCATTACTCTGAGATCATAACCTGAGCCAAAATCAAGAGTCAGATACCCAACCAACTGAGACGCCCAGGCACCCTTGTTTCCTTTTAAATTAAACAAGAAAAAAAGAAAAGTGTTGATTTAAAGAAAAATATTAAGTAGATAATAGGATGGGGGTACACAGACATGACAAAAAATGAGAGGAGTTTCTATTGAAATGGCTGAAATTTGATACACACTTGACCTCAAGGATAATGTTCGAGTTCCTTAATGAGACACGAGAAGCTGACCTTTACTTCTCTTAGCCTAGTCACCACTATTAGCTCACCTTGGGCACGAACAGCTTGGAGTTTGCTCCTTCCCTTCCTAGCTGAAGGTGCCTCGGTTACTGTAATCTCTCCTTATATGGTATTTCCTGATCCATCACCGCCCCCCCACCCCTGCCTCTGCTTGACTCTGCTCATCCAGTCAGCCTCTACGAAGCCCTCCCCCACTTAGTACCCATCATTGTATTGAACATATAGTCTTCAAATTCTAAATCCAAGGGTAGAATTTAGTGCCAGTATCACAGCATCATCATGGCCTGAACAGCTTATTAAGGTGGGAAGAAAAGATGTTTCAGATAAAATCTGGGGTATAAAACGAAGATTGTCCATGAAAAAAAATGTTTATCTCATTTTTCATGTTTGGAGTTTTAAAAATAGTTACGTTCGTAGATCTAAATACCTGATCTTAATGATTTCTTTCAACGCTGAGACAATACATTACCTGGTCATCTAGATTAAGGGTAAAAAAGGGACAGAGAAGGAAAAAATAAGGACCATGATGGGAAGTACCATGATGGGAATGACAGTTTTTTTTAATGTCATTTCTACATTACTTGGTGGTTTACTGCACCTTACTTATCTTAAGCTGGATGACTTCATTAGAAAATGAGAGATCAAATCGAGCGTTCTGAATATAACACATTTAAACGTTTGACGTTTTAAGGGCAAAAGCTCCTAAACAACTGTGTGGCCATTGAGATGTTGGAACAATTTTCCAGTTTCATGTTCCCCAGTGCATATAAATAAGTACAATAATATTAACAACAACAACAAAAACACAGCGCATAGCGAATGCTGTTTAAAAAGTCTTCCAGTGTCTGCAGTCATGATGAACTAACTGCATTGACTTCCGTTCATTCATTCAGAAGTCTTATTTTGAAACTGACATTCCACACCACAGGATTCAAAAGTCCCCACTGCACTTGGCCAGATGTAAATTCTCATATTAACAGAGGTGCAGATAATGCTTTCAAAACTACTGCTGTATTTGGGGAAAAGTTCAATTTTAGCGTTTCTCCCTATGTATTTCGCGTGGCCAAAGCCAGAGGGGAAGGGCTGTACGGGGGGGTTGGGGGAAGTGACTTCATACTTTTGATTACGGAATGTCATGTTTACCACTGTAAACGTTCAGCCTTTAAATGAGAAAGCGGGTGGAGTGAGATCGCTCTCACGCCGTGCATTTTGTATGTTACATCTTACCCACCAGCCAAACTTTCTCCATCAGTCTGAGTAGGTCAGCGGCGGAAATGCTGCCTGAAAGGGAAACGTAGGGTTGGGAGGCGGCGTGTGCTCCTTACCCGGTGTTGCCTTTGGAGTTACCTGAAGCATTCAAGCTCTTGCACCCAGAAAAAAGCTTCTCGTTTCAATTCGGTCGTTTCCGTGGGGGGGAATTGCGGTACGGGCAGGTCCTGGGTGTGGCGCTGCCAACAGGGAACTCAGATCTCCGTCTTCCCGCTTCTGGCAAACCTTCTCAGCCCCTGACTGGCGAGTAACCGGCCCTCGAGACCCGCCTTCCGGGATCCCGGGGTCGCTGGCGGACAGACCCCGCAGCCGAAGCAAACCGCTGGAGCGCAGGGCGCGAGTGCGCTTCTCCCCCATTCGTTCCGCGCCTGGAGGCGGATCCCCTTCCCTGCACACAAGTCCTTATATGCACCGGTTGCACCAGCCCGTGTTACTCCAGCCCCACAAATAATTAATGGGGGAGGGAGGCCCGCTCTTTTTTTTTACCCCTCTGGATTTGTCAGCGCTAGAGCAGTGAACCCTGCCGAAACCCCCCGTGATGCGATTGAGAGCCATTGTGTTGCAGTGCACGAACTGGACACACAAAAATAAAGCCCCTTTGCCCCTACGATAAGCGCGGCAGGGTTCAGGAACAGCTTTTCACATCCAGCCAGATTAGCCTGCAAAAGCCTGGGCGGAAAGGGTGCGCGCCCCTCCCCCATCCAGGCTGGTGCGGAGGGACCGGGTCAGGAAGCGCGGCCTCTCCCCAGTCGGAGACCACGCCTCCTCCGCCTTCCCCCCCCCCTTCTTTACTCCTCCCAGGAAGCGGTGATAGACAGTTCTGTGTGGTTCTCCACCCCCCCCCCCCGGCAGAGTGGAGGAGTTGATGTGTCTCATTATAACAGCCAATGCAGCCGCCATCCACGCACAAGCAAAGAAGCATGTCCCATTTAAATACACCCACGCAGCCCCAGCGCCCTTAGCTGAGCAGGGCGCGCAGCCCACACGCACCGCGGCTCCGGGCTTGGAGATCCGCGCAGGTTGGGCTCCCGGACCCGGCGGACCGAAGAGCGGAGGATCGGGATCGGGTGCTGTGGGGCCGGGGTGGGCGGGGAGGCTGGGCCCGGGGCCTCTGGCGCGACACCCGCATGAGGACGCGAGTGAAATAGACCAAGGTGGAATTTCCAAGGGAGAAGCTTCAGGGTGGTTTTGGACCATTTCTCCCGCGAAGAAGTAGACATGGCGAGCGACTCCCCGGCTCGCAGCCTGGATGAAATCGATCTCTCGGCTCTGAGGGTGAGCAGAACGTTTTCTGATTTCTTTCCAGTGGTTTGGGTCGGGGTGAATGGGCTCGGTGCGTTAACTGGGGCCGGGACTGGTGGGTAGAGGCGAATGCGATGCGGAGCGAACCTGGCTTCTCGTTTTGATTCGGGGTCTGCTGAGGTGCTCTTGGCTAAGCCTCCACGCAAGGGCTGTGCGGTACGTGTCCTCCTTCGGTTGTGGCCAAGGCTCCCCCGAGAACCAGTGGAGCTTATGCCAGTTTCATCTTACACCAGTGTAAGAGCATTAAAATGAAATGTTCCTGGTGTGTGTGTGTGTGTGTGTGTGTGTGTGTGTGTGTGGTGTGCACACACGCCCCGGACGGTCATCTCGTGCCAAGGCGCGAGACCCCACCGTCCCTTTTTGCAAAAAGGATAACCGCAGCGTGAATAAAGGCACTGGCCACTCACTTTTCCCAGCTACCTGCAAGATGACATTGTGAGCCTGACTGTCCCCACGACGCCGAACCTGCCGCTCCAAGGGGGCGGCTATTGCAATGCTGGGCTTGTAGATGATGGCAACTGCCTCCTCTACCCCCTCTCCGCCTTCCGCGCCCGGACTCCCTCTCAGCGCTCTCTTCTATGGCAGTCTGCCGCTCACCTTTATTTATGGTTTAACTTAGCCCTGCCTGTGTTTTCTGACTTGGTGCCTCTGACATTTCAGTTTTATGGCTGAACTTAAGCAGGTGAAAGGATGTATTCTCTGCTTTTCCCCAGGCAGACCGGAACTCCCGTGAGTGTGTGTGTGTGTGTGTGTGCGCGCGCGCGTGTGTGTTCGTGTTCGCCCTGTGTCTGTGGCCAGTCCTTTGTAGAGAGCATCTACTTCCCTCCAGCCCCACTGGTTTGCGTTTACCTTCACGTGAATGGCCTCAGACGCCTTTTCATTTTATTGACTAAGACATCACTGCTATAGAATCCATTTTGCTGTTGTTTTGAGATCAGAATACCAGGAATCCCAGTGTAGCCTCGACGACTCCCCACCCCCACCCCCGACTCCCAACACACTCTTTCGGGGAAGGGGGCAGAGCTTTCTTGCCATTTTAATTAGATGCTGCCTGCCGAAAAGAGGGTGAGGGGTGGGGGTGGCGGCAGCAGCGGAGGTTTGAGAAGGATTGGATACCAATTTAAGGATGGCTTCTTCCTCTCCTGAACCAAGAATAAAATTAAAAAAAAAAAAAAGCAACCACATATATACTTGAAGCATGGAGGGTCGGTGAGACCGAATTGATGATGGCTCTCAACACAGACACGCAGGATGGGTGAAGCTTGGAAGTTCACACACCCTCCTGAGGCATACATTGTTAGATCGATGCTAAATCTTGGGATTACAGACCTGAATCTTCATTACTTCTCCTGACACTGCCTCATTTTCCACCGCTATTTTAAAGAGCTACCTTTATCGTCAAAGTGGTACTTTTTCTTTAGTCTCATTAATCGTCTCTCTTTTTAACTTCCGCTCCTCTTCTCCTTAGTCCTTCCAAGAGGTGAGGTTTCTGCAAGGCAGCCTAGGGGTGGAGAAGGAACATAGATGCCATTTGAAATGGCTTTTTTGATAGTTGGGCAGCAAAAGCCCATTCATGTGATATTACAGTAAGCTGTCTATTTCCCTGATGCAGAAATGCCACATTCAGAACCCCGCTGCCCCCTGGGCAGCTGGGGGTGGGGGTTGGTAACAGGGTGGGTGCTTTGGCTAAGTCTGTGGTTTCCTGCTTTATAGACTGTGTGTGTTCATTTGCCCTACTTTCAGCGCTGGGAGTTGCTGCCAGTGGGTTAATCAGGTGGATGGATGGCCCAGACTACAGGGTAGAGGAAAGTGGCAAAGCCCAGGAGGGGGTGGGGTGGGGGGGGTAGGGGAAGGAGTCTGAACAATGGGCAAGGCTTGTGGTTTTCCTGAGCTAGAATTTCGACATTGCTCCTCTAATGGAAAGTGCTCCGATGTGATTTTTAAGTTGGGCTTGGTCAAAGGTGTCCCTTGTGGGCTTTTTCCTGGGGAAGGTTTTCTGAGATACGGAGCACAGAGCCTGCAGGCTTGTGAGCAACCACGAGGGCTCACCGGCCTTCCTGGAGTGTGATTCACACACAGGAGGCCTGTGCTCTGTCATGATCCTGGGGTCCTGGAATCGAGGCCCGCGTTGGGCTCCCTGCTCCGCGGGAAGCCTGCTTCTCCCTCTCCCACTCCCCCTGCTTGTGTTCCCTCTCTCTGTGAAATAAATAAATAAATAAAATCTTTAAAAAAAAGAGACCTGTGTTTTGAAAAGATATCTTTGCCGGCTTCACTGAAATTGCTCTTTGTGGCCTGGGCTTAGTGCTTTGCCTCTGTATTTCTGCCTGCAGGAGGTGTGTAAAGAGGGAGGGCTAAGGCCAGCTCTAGAGATGGGAACTGCTGGCTGGACGACTTAAATGCAGATGTGGAGACAAATGCATCCCAGATGCTGGGGCCGGGGTATGACCAGTCTTGTAGGGGGTGAGGTGTGCAGGCCGGCTGTTGAGTCCAAGGCCACCTAGGTGATCTCTACAAGCCAGAGGGCAGATAATGTCTCTCTGTCTTCCCAAATTAGGAGAGGTGCATTTCTCTAGATGAGAGGTCTCATTTGTGCCTAACCCCTCAGGAAAGCCTGCCTGCCCAGAACCTCCTGGGGAATGCCTGACCCCTGAAATGCAGCCAAGGTCAGTGGCATCTAGGAGAATTTGCTGCAGCCTTAACCAGTCCCTTGCTGTTTCCGTGGCTCTTTAATGTACACAATCAATGCTCTTTTTGTAAACCCTGAGCTCAATGCATTAAAAGCAGATCTTGTCTGGAGAGGCCTTTATCCTTCTCACTTTGGGGGCTTATTGTTCTCAGCCAGTGATCCCAGACTGGACCCAGTCTAAATTTTCCCCAAATAGCAACAATGCATAATTTAAACCAGAGCAACCAGGGACAGCACTGATCATTTAAATTATGCAAGATTTGGATGGTTTTAGAAAGTAAGATAAAATAGGATCTTCTTTGGTTAGAAAAGAGATGAAATGAATCCATTTTTATTAGTCCTGATTTTTAGAGCTCTGGCGATAAACTAAGTGTTGGGGGAGGGGCATAATTTCATAGATTTAGAGCTGGAAGAGAATTGGAGAACCCTTAGCCACTCCTTTCATTTAATACTAAGCTGAAGCCCAGAGAGTTGTAGTCATTGTCCAAGGTCACACAGCCCTGTCTCCCCTGGGGTGCGGGTGAGGGAGGCGAAAAGGGTGGTTTGGAGAGAATCTAGGTTTCCTGATTTCTCTTCTGTGTTCTTTTCTCTAAGTCACACTGTCTGTGGCTGAATCAGAAATCAATAACACATTTTCTGCCTGAGCACAAAAGAATGGCAGTGAGGAATTATTTCACCAGAGTCATGGAATTGTATTTATCGAGAATAGAGAAACTGCTTCATGCAGGTAAGCTCATAATACATAAAACCGTGGAGCATTAAGATACCTTTGGAATTCATCTTGTTCAGCACCGCCCCCCCCCCCAATTCTTTCTGTCCTGGCAGATGACTGTCTGAATCATCTAGGACAGATGGTTGTCCTGCACAGTACCCTCTCTCAGTAACCCATCTCCATCTGAATTGGTCCCACGGGGTCAGTCTAGACATGCACACTCTTCAGATGTCTCTGCATGTGAGGTTTATAGAGTTCTATGTATGTTTTGCATAATCTATGTGGATACTCATATATAGTGTCATGGTTATAAACTACCCATGTGGGTGTATGAAATGTGTATATACATACAAAGGCCACAGAAAACAATCTACTCATTCAAACTCAAGGCTTGAGTCATTCTCCCTTCAAGACATCACAGTGTTAAAAGAAATGAAACTTGCCACCAGTATGCTTTACTACATGTGAGGTGAGATCAGCCCAGAAAGCTTTTTGGAGATTAGCATATATCTGAGTCTGAGCACTTTGGCTGTCCTTAGTTTGGCCCACAGAGGAAGGCGTTCAAGGCCAAGTTTGGCTGCTGCTGACTTCATACTCTTAAGTTTCTGCCAGAACTTGCACTCACTTTTCTGTTTGAACAGAATTAGATGACCTCTGCTTGTCTTTCCCCCTGCCCCTCACTGCCTTCTAGGCCCAGCTATTTCTTTGTCTCTTAAGACCTAGACTTAAGAACTGACTTCATCTGGAAGATTTGCACACATCTCTCCTGCTACACTTTTTCTCCTTGTGTTATAAATGGTGTGGGGATTATTTTCTGCCTACTTAATAAACGATGGGCTCCATGAGGCTGGAGGTTAGGTCTTGCTCATCTTTGAGTCTGTAATTGCAGTTAGTTGTATAAACGGATAAATGCACAAATTAGTGAGTAGGTGAATGGAGTGGACTGAGCACTGGGTTCTGTGTCCATGTCTTAGTAGTTCTGTGACTCTGGATAAGTCACATAACCATAATTCATTTAACAATGGGAATGAACTCAACTGCTTGCCTTCCTCATATGCTGACTTCAACAATCAAAGTGTTTATGGCAATACTGTGAAAACCGTAAAGCACTACACAAATACACTATTCCATGATTAAATAGAATTTTATGGGAATCTTGAGTGTACCATTTGATCCCAATGATTTCACCTAATTGAAAATGATCCTGAGAAAAAGATAACAGAAGGTCCTGCAACTTTCTAATAGTACTTTTTCCTTTTTATGTGTCAACATGACCTTGTATATTTCTCTGCCCACCTGGGTTGACCTTTGCCCCAGGGTCAGCGTTCATTACTTTTTTTTTTTTAATTTTATTTTTAAGTAATCTCTACACCCAACATGCGGCTCAAACTCACAACCCTGAGATCAAGAGTCGCATGCTGTAATGGCTGAGCCAGCCAGGCGCCCCTAGCGTATTTCTAAGCTAGTATGAGGTATCAGCATTATTCATTAAAACTTCCTTCTTTTTTTCTTCTCTCTCTTTTTTTAAAACTTTTCCCCCTCTGTATGGATTAACCGTTATTTAAATCAAACCAC